GTATCATGGACCCTGTACAAAGAGATAAGGACCGGCGAACTGGATGATCGAAACGAGATAAGAAAAAGGAAATACAACAAGTGTGGGGTATATAGCGTAGAGTATATAAAGACAAGAAATAGAAGGAGAGAGAAAGAGAGGGTCGAGGAGTAGGAGGGATGGGTTAGAAAAGTTGTTTAACGTCAACGAGCTCTGAGTTGCCCGGACGATCACGCTCCATGTGGAACCACCAGTCCCGGCCCATTTTATGGTTCCACGTTCCAGTACAGGTATCTTTGTCCCAAGGCAAGGCCGAGCCCATTGCACTACTGAGAGGCGTGATTGGTGTCGTGGGTGTCGTTGGAGACGTGCCCATCACAGACCGCCCACTCAAGCTTCCCCAGCCAAATCTGGAAATGGTGGACGCAGGCGACATAGGCTCCTCGGGAGGTGCGATAGAAGGGGTTCCGCTGCCGAAGCAGTTGACGCCTACTCCGGCAGCATATGACAGTGACTGGTTCGAGGCCAGCAGCTGCCTCCATCCAATCAAGCCACCGTCTGACTCCTGGCCGGTGATATCAGGACGGAGGATGAAGTGAGGAATTGATGCGCCTGTTGCAGGATCCCGGAAACCACTACGGCCCATCAAGGTTGGCATACGGAACTCATAGACCGTCTTGGGGCCACTGTAGTCATTATCCTCATGTTTAAACCGCTCGCAGGCAGCCCAGATCCCGTAGTCGTCCATTTCCTGGTCAGGCTCTTCCTCGAATTGGGAGTGCTTCGCGTTGTCCGGCACGTATGCATCCGAGTAATCTTGGATCAGAACCCGCATGCCAGCCTCAGAGTCCTTGGCGGCCATATCAATGAACGTCTGGGCACGGATTCGAGCTGAGGTCAGATTGTTCCCCGCCGGCAGAGCGAGCGGTCGTGTATTCACGGAACCGTGGGAGCTGCGAGGCAAGCTGTACCGGTCCGGTCGGAGTAAGGCTTGGCCTTTTAATATAGGCCGGCAGACAGCCTGGAGTGCACCTGGGGGCTCCACGTCAGAAGGTGCGCGGAGAGCTTCCAATTGAGGAAAACCGGCAGAGATGATGCTTTGGGCAAGATGGTAATTAGGGGTATTGGAAGGTTTTGTGGGTTTCTGGAAGGGGAGGGTATCAAGCTTGGTAAGGGCTGCGCCTGGGTCTGGGCATGCCACATCCCAGTGGAGATATTTTAGAGTTGAGGAGGCCAGGATAGGCTGAAAGATCATATGTTCGTCTGGCAAAGTTGGACACTTTTCGGTTTGGACTATCTTGAATCGTTCAAGTTGTCGTAGTGACGCAAGGATTTTAGAAACGACTAGCAGCGACTCGATGTTCTGTTCGACCAAGACGAGTGTCTTGAGGGAGAATGATTCGGGTCGTGACGTGTACTGCGAGAGACCAGCGTCTGTAATCCCGGGGAGGTTCTCCAACCTTAGGGATTCCAATGGTGGCAGACACATCAATGTGTTATTATCAAAGGAGTCTTTGTTGAAGGAGGTGATGCAAAGGTTTCGCAATGAGGGAAGAAGATTGAACATGCGTAGGGAGATACTAGGCTCCAATGAGCCATTTCCGTTCAACCCATAAAGCATGAGTGTCTCCAGACTTGTCCATGAGGTGTGATAATCCAGAAACTCGAACATTTGGGAGGGGCCCAGACTCCCAGGGCAGGAGTCGTCGCGCGGGGACAGCTCCGATACCTCTGCGGCCTCTCCCAAAACCCACGTGTGCTCTTTGAGCTTTTTGCGGGTCGACAAAGCATGGGTCAGGCGATCGAATTCATGGTGATATGGTATAGACAAGCCTAGCAGGCGCTCCAAGTTTGGGCACACCATGACCACGGATGCTACCATGTCTCGATACTCCTGCCACAGCGTACCTTGTTTCATCGTGGTAAAGATCAGGTCTAACTGAGGCACCCGCAGCTCATATACAAGGTTAGCCAGCAACTTCCGCTCGCGGAGAGTTCGCCTCAGGAGCTTCAGACGGCTCCCTCTTTTCAGACGATATTTCTTGAGTTGGGCGGGGGAGTCATTCCCGACAATGTGTATACTATTGTACCTAGCATGGCATGTTCAATCAGCAAACAGTCCTTGTTTATATATATATTGATAACCTTGGATCAAGGGGAGACAGGACTCGAACTCACAGAGGTCCTCTAACAGCCTTTTCCCAAGAGCGACAGGTCAAAGCTAGGGCATGTAAATCGCGCTGAAAACACGTGGTACATCCTGTCTGGTGCTGCCCTTTGTGTAACTCCTCTAAGTGGCGGATAATCACTTCGTAGACCTCGTGTGGTAATCGACGTTGAACTGGTTCGGTTAACTTGGGAAGAGAATTGACAGAGTCGCATTGACGGTAAGATGAGGAGGGTGAGGATGGGGAATATGTGGTCGGCACGGTTGAGGCGCTATAGTTGGTTCTGTAGGAAGATATCGAGGAGGTTCGGGAAGCACTTGAATGAACAGAATAGTCGACGTGGTTCTCAGGTATGGAATTACAAGATACCACAGGGGGCTCTGTTCTAGTGGCGACAACACTCATTGTGAATTTGCTTTGGCATCGGAGCAAACGACAGGAAAAAGCAAATTCAATTCCCAATAGGGAGGTGGAGGGGTTCGGGAATGTAGGGGGAAGTTCGGAAACGCGTAATATATGGAGATCGGCAGTTTGTAGCCGTTTTTATAGTCCGAACAACACGCGTCTTGAACAATATGATCAAGAAAGGTGAAGAGAAAGAAGAAGAATAGTAGGGATATCTCGAAAGTGCGAGGATCAGAGATGTAGCAGCCTTAGAGAATCAGGAAAAGAAAAGGGAAAAAAAGAAAAGACAATGTCGGTCGATCTCCCCCACAACAGGAATAAGTTGAAGGTAACCGTGGACCTCCCGTCATTACAGAGTACACTGTAAGCCGTGCAGAGCGTGCCCAGCGGAGACGGGAAGGGGCGGTTCAGGGGTTGACATACAATTGTATTTGATACCGGAATTGTCGTTTTTATGTTATATAGGAACTTGTATATTATATTGTATGTGATTCTCTAATATTTTAATATTCTAGAATTCTAATATACTAACATTCTAATATAACAATGATAAATCCTATGAAATGTAGTCCATACATGTATGTTGTAAGTAAGATGAATATCAAAAACATCCGAGTGTCAAGGGTTCGTGGCCTTGATCACGCTATGACCTATTTAGGCTTAACCAAGTGGGTCATGGCTGCATTAGTCATGTATTCTACCCCTTTTCCTCCAGGGCTGTTCCTTTTTCTCTTTGTTTTAGATTAACTGGTTATATTATTAGTATCTCTTTGCTTTAGGGTGATTGAGATTGATATGGATTACAATGAGCTGTTTCACATTATAGTAGGATAGTTTTACATTATCCCTTTCTATGTTATATGTATGTTATATGTTGTATGTTGTATGTTATATGTTGTATGTTGTATGTTATATGCTGTATGTTATTATAACATATGTTGAATGTTGTATATCCAAATGGCCCATGCGCACATTATCCTGCAGGGCAATAAAATAGGCAATTAGGTACTTTTTTCCTTTTGACTTTGGATTTATTACCCCGTAAGTATGGAGTACTGCATGGCATAAAGGGATCGACATATGTATCATTATTGACCATATCAACCGTCTCCATCCCGAATATAACCAGCCTATAGTATCACATAGTCCAACCCTCAGAAGATGTGCCTATTATTATTAAACCTAAAAACCTGACTCAGGTCGACTAAACTCCCTACTTTGTACAATCCCCTGATCAATATAGCAAGATCGGCGAATGGGCCACTCACTCCTCGCAAAAGACAAAGTGTAGTACAGAGTAGTCCATCCACATCATTCCCACCTTCACATCTTACGATATATATATGTATGGCGTACATATGTATAGCTCAATCCACTCTGACAGATCGGAACGTGGAAGAGAATCACAGCCGATCTGGTGGAGACGTGAGGGTTCAACTCCAGTGCTGCGGCCAATTGCACCATCGGATCTCGTTGTAATAACAACTAGGGCTTGCAAGCACCACTTTCGGGGTGTTCATGAAATTTGGAATTCCATGTGGAAGATCCACTTGTCCGCGTACCTGCATTACAATCGGGACAGGAACCAAAACCGAATATTAGACTTGATCACGTCGGAGAGGGTTCTGATGTCGGTATACTCAAGTGATGCAAGGTAGGATTCTAATCCGAACTTCAACTCGTAACCTAACCTATATGTATATATATATATATATATATATTTAGCCCTCTATACCTACAATTTGAAGAAAGCTTACTTTGGACTCTCGCTGTATCAGTAGTTTAATTATTTGTCACTTTTATACTATCTAACTATAACTAAGGTCAGTAGCATAATCACATCACTCCAATACACACATAATATGAGAACCACAAGGGCCCACAGTCACTTCCCACTCCTTTGTTCCAATCATAGAAATTGGCCAGCGTGATTCTCGGCGCCTTGGCTATTATCTTACAAGTGTCATCACCCCCAACTCTATAGAACCTGTTACCAGTCCCAATCATGCCGCTCTGGGTCGGCGTTGGTGTAGCCACCTCATTGCCTTTGGTAGTTGCCGTCGGCTTGGGATCCACGCTCATGGCACTGACGCAATGTAGTAATCGGGCCAAAGCCCACTGCAGGTGGATCCTATGTCTGTATTCCATTTCGATAGTTGCCCAGTGGTGATCTCATAGTCTGTGGCGATCTTACCACAGTCATCCCCAGATTTGACCTTGTAGAAGGCATGGCAGTGGCCCGTCATCCCTGCACGTGTGGGAGTAGGAGTCACGATGCCACTTTCTGCTGTCGTGGGCTGGGGTCAGGCTTTCCAAACGCTTCAACGCAGTAAGAGTGATAATCGAGGAAGTTGCTGCAGCTCGCTGTTATAGAAGGGTTCTGTTTAAATCAAAACGAAGATTAGTGCAATGGGCACGCATTAAGATAGTAACATGAACTGACCCATTCTAGGACGGCATGTCCTTGCAGGCAACTGACCCATCATTATCCCACCACCACGAACAAGACAAAGTAGTTTCCCAGTAGTGCGGGAACTTAGGTATCTCGTCCCTTCGGAGCTTTGTTCCGGCAGCTAAGGCGCTCGTGATTCCAAACAGACTCAAAATGGCGGCGCACATCTTGCCAGCCATGTTGGGAAACGGTTAATCGCAAACAAAGAAACGATACTGAAGGTTAATCGAATCAGGTGAATACTTGGCCAACTTATTTGGTATTTCTGTGAAAGGCTTGCCTAAATCTAGTTCATATTAATATTGATTAGGGTGGATCGTCATGAACGTTGGAAGCTGAATGTTCAATTGGATTCCAAAGTTCTCTGCTATAGATTAGAGATGCTGATAAGAGCTCACAGTCTGTATATCCGCTTGCAGATCAGTATAATCAGTACTTCGATGTTGCATTCTGTTCAAAGTCGAAATTCCCATGTTGGCTCAACAACGGTCAAATATCAGGTATAAAAACCGCCAAAACCGGCTCGGTTTCGCTTATGCAGGTTAGGTGGACGTTAAAATCCCACTAATGGTAGCATTCTACGGGACTCTCCCGTTTTTAGCGTCGGCTAGATCCGAGGGATATAGTTATACATCGCCGTGGGTTGGGGGTGTTGTTCGCATGTAGGTTGAGGAGATGATTGTTGGTTTTGGTTTTTGGGTTTGGGGATCATATGGGGGTTGTGATATATGTACGGGGGGATTCTGTTTGGGGACAAGGGGGGTTATACTTTCTTATTTTATTTTTCTGTTAGGCTGCACCTTCATATCTACGGATCTTCTCAAAAGGAACTTTGGAAACTGAGAAGTGGCAGATTGGGAAGGAACAGGGTTAGGGAAACATTTTCTTAAAAGAGAAAGTAGGCCCCGAACATGTTCTAGACCCTAAGATTGCATGAATAGATAGAATGGTGGAGAGAACAGGAATCGTTCAAATTTTTGGATTTAGTGTCATTATTGGTTGACAGCATGAAGAAATAGGCCTTTACCCATATGCTATATTATATGTTCCTAGATGAGGTACAAAAACCCGAACCCGGACAAGGCAGCGATGACATTCTACGGGGAACAGCATTTCCAAAGAGAAAAGAGAGCTTCAGAAGAGTAACAAATAATTCCAGCAAGAATGGAAGGATTGTATGGAAGAATCTGACATTCGATTAAAACAGCATATCCGTCCTTCATGCAAATGTGTAGACGCAGATCGAGCCTCATGAGATGCCGATACCAGTCGCTAGTCTTAACGCCATAAAAATGGAACTTGGATAAAACCTTCTGCTACCACTCGGTTGTCCCCGAATCTGGGCAGCTTTGATCAAACCTGGACATGCAAAGAAATGAAAAAGCCGCGAGGAAAGCTCCCTCAAATTACCACCGTACCGTGTTGGAACAGGAAACTCCACGAAGAGAGGAAGCAAAGGTAGAAGCAAGAGAAGACCGAGGAAAAGACACTCAAGAGAAAAGAGCAGGTATCAAAATTTAGGACATGAATCCCAGATAGGGAAAATAAAATTATCGACACTGCGCCGGAGACGGGATAGAAGACAAAGACAACCTTGGAAAGAGAGCTCGCTCTGACTAACCGCCCCAGAACATGATGACTGACAATAAAGGTGCACAATTAAGATTACCCAAACCCAACTCCACCAAACACGCAAGGACCCCCCGGCGGTTCCTCTGAAACGGAACGTGAAGAAACTGACTGAAGCCCGGGGGGAGGGGGTATGTGACTGGGAACTGGTTGACGAAACGAACGGGAGGGTGGTGACCATTAAGAGTAGCGCGGCTCAAGATTAGTACCGGGAGTGGTGCACGATCGCAGAATGATCACCGTCTCAACCCGGCGTTCGACAGAACAGGAAACAGACTGAAAGGATAAAGGAAGTGGGGGCAAAATCTGCAGAAACACCAGAATGAGGAAACGGGAATCAGAAACAAGGCAAAGGCAAGTGAGAATGGAAACGGAACCCCATATTTGCGGGTTGGAAGCGATGCAATCCGAAGGCATGTACAAGACACAAGACAAGAAATCAGAATGTATGCCAGATCAAGACTCCATGATCATGCAGTAGGAGAAAAAAGAAAAAAAGAAAAAAGAAAACATAATCACATGTCAAAGGTATCATCAACGTTGAAAATCCCGGGTTCCGTGCCGTCATGAGTCTTGTGGACGCCTGTCATGCGCTGGTCGACCGAGTTGCCCGACCGGTGGCCTCGTTGCCAGTGATCGTCGCGCATGGCGTCCTCTTCCATATGATCGCTGTCGTCCATAAGATGGTGGTCGATAGAGCTTTCATTCACGAAAGTGAAGCCCTTGAAATTGGCTTGCATCCCGGGGGACAAGGGAGTGGAGGCTGGCATGAGGCCGTTGGCGAGGTTTGCGGCGCGGAGATTGAGCGAGTTGTTCAGTTCCATAGCATTTGTGAATTCGGGGTCGAAGTTCGATGTGTCGGTTTCAGACTGCAGCTGCGGCTTGAACGGAGGAATCACTTGCTTGCGGCACAATGTATCCCAGTTGATGTCGTGGAAGAATGGGTGTGCCATTAGCTCCTTAGCATCACCATTGGCGCCCAGTCGATGCTTTGGATTCCGGTTCAGCAGGCCTTTGACAAAGTTTCTTCCCTCAGTGCTAAGCGCATCACGGGGGAATCGGACTTTGCCAAATGCGATATTCTTGTACATCTGCTGAGTGTCCTCAGCGTAGAACGGACTCCAGCCACAGCACATCTCAAAGACCAAGACACCCAGGGACCAGAAGTCAACCATCTTTGTATATCCTTGCTCATCGAGCAATACTTCCGGGGCCAGATATTCAGTGGTGCCACAGAACGTATTGGTGGTGTCATTTTGGGATAGATTTGCCTTGGATAGACCGAAATCACAGAGCGCAATGTGACCGTTGGCATCCAACAGAATGTTCTCCGGTTTGAGATCCCGATATACGATGTCGTGGTCGTGCAGATGTTGCAGAGCCAGAATCAACTCGGCAATGTAGAACTTTGCCCGTGCCTCCTGGAACCGACCCTCGCGCTGTAAGTGCCAGAACAATTCGCCGCCCGACATGTAATCCGTAACTAGATAGAGATCTGTCGGGGTTTGGAAGGAGAACTTCAACCCAACAATAAACGGAGATGCCGTCATCGCAGTGCGTACTAAGATATTGCGCTCTCCGAGCGTATGTACCACCTCCTTCTTCTGGATGATGACCTTCTTGGACAGAACCTTCATCGCATAGATACGCTGTGTGTCCTTCTTCTTGACCTGATAGACCTGCCCGAACGTTCCTTTGCCGATAAGTTTGAGAACGAGGAAGTCATTCGGTCCGACCTGCTTTCGATCTGTCTTTTCGAACTTCATATCGAGGTGAATTTCTCCAGACACTTGGTTGTCGCCGGCACCACGCGCGACCAAGGGGAACCAGCCTTCTAGTCGACTGTGATCTTCCTTGAGGTTGATGCAGAGACGTACGTGACCCAAGAAAGCTTCTTGGTTGTTGCGGTCATAGACTGTGACATCAAGTTCTGACTGATCTCCCATAACATCACTTAACAGAACGTTTAGTTAGTGATGCAAGTGAAGGAGCCGGGCTGGGGTAACATACAAGGTAGCCTCGTGATCCCAGTGCGGGTCTGTTACGGGCGTCCGCCCCTTGTGATCACCCTCGACAGCACTGTTGTGAGAGCTAGATCGTGTTTTCAACGGAATGGCCATGGGCCGACCAGCAGCCTCCTCGGCATCTGACTCCAGCTGGCGCCGTTTCTTTTCCTCCTCGCCGTCACGAGCACCTTTGGAGATGTACTCATTCCATTCGAATACACACACCACATACGGATCGAAACTTGGCCGCAGCCCTCGACCATCGGTGATCTTCACAAACAATTTACCATTGATCGGGCCCGTCGGCGCGCCGTTGGCCGGGGATGTTGCAGGCGCAGGCGCAGTCTCAGTCTCAGACTTGGGCTGAGATGGGAATGCTTCATCGAGTTTCATAGTGATCTCATCTGTGGAGCTTTCCATGTCTTCCGGCTTTGTCTCGGATTGCGGTGTCTCCTGCGAGCTCTCTTGTGGGGCAGAAGTGTCGGTCTTTTCCTGGGCGGTTGGGGCATCGTTGGACATGGCCCGGGGAGTAAGAGGTGGGGTATTCTTAAGACGCGACCCATCGGGCGCGTTTTCAGTTAGCTTGGCTAGATTCTCAGAAGATATTGAGACGTGCGGTTTCTCATGGTCGAGGGGAGCTTCAGTCAGGGGAAAGGCATCTGGAAAAGGGGGGAGGGATGGATTGGAAAAATGTGTAGCAAGAACGGGGTCGTCAGAGATGCTGGATACTGGGAGGGAGGTTTGACGGCGGGAAGGAGGGTCTTCTGGAGGAGTTTGTGTGGGTGAAATCAGGTAATTCTTCAGCGTTGTAAAGATAGAGGACACTCCTGGACTCGTCCCGAGTTCCATCTCATCCGACTCGTGCTGTAATAAGGAGTGTGGAGGGGTGTGTAGATTGGGATGTTCCTCCTCCATCTTGTCAGACCCATCTTCCTGCTCCATCATGACAAAAGACTCGGAGGAACCGGAGGTGTGTTGGGTATGCGCATTTGATTCAAGTTCCTCAGAGGGTTTCGACAGACATGACCATAACCGTGGCAGACTCGCTTTATCACCGGAGAAAGAACCAACCTGGAAGTAGTTGTGCATAATGGAAGGCAGACGCTTATCGGCCAGATCAGGTTCAGGCGTTGCGATTCCAGTCGGCGTGGGGGTAGAATCATTTGACCTGATCTGATCTTGAGTATCGTCTTCCAGTCCAGAGCTATTGGGATGGAAGGTTAGCCAACGAAATGATAGCTCTCCGATAAGCTCTTCAATTTAAAGCTAGGCAAATTCCGACAAGGTCCGAGACGACAGGGGAGACACCGAGGGATTGAGAGAAAGCCTTGAAACGCCATGTTTCATGCAGGTCAACCCTAACAAGAACAGAATATAATGCAATGCGGTGTGAGGGGATCGTGGACCCTCTTTTTCCACTCTTCAACCCCGCCTTTCAAGAGGAATGCCCAAGCCAAAAAAGAACGAAAATATAGAAGTTGACTCACTTCATTGTCTTTATGTCGTCGCCGTGCAACACGGGTCCACTCTGCGCAGCCATTGTGTTTCCATTCAAGAGAAAGTCGAAAAATGAGGGAGCGAGAAGTGGGGGGTAAAGTGGTGAAGTTGGAAAAAAAGAATGGAGGATTTTTTGATGAGCTAAGGGAGTTTGCGGGATGGATTTGAACCCGTTCGGATTTTCCCCAACCAGAAAAATGAACGTTTTATTCGGTTTTTATTCGGTTTTTCTGAGGTTTGGAAACACGAAAAAAAAGGTATTCGATAGTTTTCTTTTGGATTTAGCCCTGGAGAAGTGGGATTCTCTTCGGTAATATAAACCCCCACTGGAAAGATAAAAAAAAAAAAAGGGCTTTCACTGATAGTCCATGCTTCCCGGCTGTGATATATAATTCAGGGATATAAGCTCATAAATAGAATATAAGGTATAATCTTATGAGATATAATCCAGCTGAAGCTGAAGCTGACTATAAAATGCAAGGTTCTGAAAAGGACGGGAACTAAAAATAAAAGGACATTGATCCATTCTTGTATTCTCTCCCGAGTCATCTACGCCTTATTTCCTAATTCGTATAGGTCTGAGGGGAAAAGATTATGAAAAATGAGAAATGAGAAATGAGAAAATATTAGAAATCAGAAATACAAAATGAAGAAAATATTAAAAAGACCAACGTCATGTGGAGACCCAAGATGAGTGGGTGACAATGTTCAATGGCCTTAGATATCCAGAGAATCGGCCGGAAGGGATCTATTTTCTTTTCCTTTGGTCCTTATTTCTCTTTCCAGAATGTGAAGAAAACAAGATTATTGCATTTGCAGGTCACGGTTACTAGTCCGAATGACATTAGGCTCCCCAAAAAAAAAAACATGTGGCTATACCTTTTCAATAGAGGCTGAGTTTTTTTTTTTTTTTTTTTTTTTTTTCCCCTTTAGTAACTATTTTTTTTCCGTCTCTTATCATGCTCCGAATCCCTATCTCCACCCTCACAGCGGGGTATCTCATTATTGCATCTGATGACAACATCGGAGTATCCGATGTAGCGATAGACCGCTTCTTATATAACTATGCGGATGGTTTCGATGTTCTACCTAGTAGTAACAATATATATATATGACTCGAGGTAGTACGTTGTATACATTATAGTCTATCTGTACACTACTAATCAAGGCAAAATGAAATCCCTTGATAATTAATAAAATTGACTGTGAAACCCATAAATCGAATTCCGATCCACCCATCGCGAGATCGGGACAACCTTTCAGCTTTCAATATGGCCCGGGTCTAGCTCTCAGATCCCCTTGCATTTGCATACCAGGTGAAATGTGGGATATGCTGTGATCGTAGTGGGATGCTCCTAAGACCTCCACATGCGTCATCGGGGCGCGCCGTGAGGTCCCAACCTCTACGATAACATGCGGGTTCGGCGGATTTAAGACCCGGGTTGTGCGTGAATGATGTACGTGCCATAGAAGTGAGCTTGCTGCAACTGTATACTGTACAATAATTCTTGTAGAAAAGGAAGAGACACCAGAGAGCTATGGCGGATCTCCGTTTTGGCCCCTCAGCTTATAGTATCGATGCCCTCGAATAGGTGGGGGATAAAGAGGTGATCGACACTTGCCTTCCGCAACCTCCTTGAGCTTATGTAGTATGACGAATGGTCTGCTATGGAAAGAAAGATCCAAGATGTTGGTTCAAGGATGATATCTGATTTCTTCATACCCTGGACTTGCATGAGACAAGTGCGTATTGATTTGCAACTACTATGGGTTCGTGCGGTTCATACTCGAATATTGGGAATCTCCAACCTTCGTAGTATACGACCTTGTTGTACATCGATGTGCAACCGAGAGCTGCATGATTTCAATGTGCATTTTCCGTTATGCACAAGACCGAGTCCGAGTTTGGATTGAATTTGTAGGTCATCTGCACTAGGGAATGATCTGCGGGCTTGTACTCCATGTTGTACAACAAAGTAAGCACTTTTACCTTTGAAAGCCACTCAGGTTGATTTTACTCAGGCTTCCAGCTGTCTACAGAAATTATACTAATCAGACTAGATATATTTCCGGGGTCGTTGTTATATTAACCATTCAGGTTTCCTCGGTTGCTGGGCCGAAAAATAAACTATGCCCTTTAATATGCTATTATGCTAATCGAATTTGTTGCTAGTAGGGCCAATTCAGATGTCCGTAAACAACCAGGTCCAAGCGGTGACTCGCTACCGCGATTGGAATATGTTCCTTCGTCCCAAGCAACTTTGCCACTGACATGGGATAGGGTTTGCTCAAGCCTCCTAGGGATTTTGAGTCAGGAGCTATCTCTCACATGTGATATTGGAGATTGACTGCACATAGAGGCACTTGATGAGGTCAGTGGTTACACAAGCAATTAACCTATGCATTTCGATGCAGTCGTCTCTTTGTTGGATAGATGCAATTGACACCCACTAATGGCAATGCGATTCAGATCGTGCATTAAACGATCGGTGTGTATTTACGGGGTTCTGTCAACGTGTAGATCCATAGATGAGATCATCTGAGTATTGAGTGCCCCTACTCCCGTACTGGTTGACAAGGGGGTAGCACAAAGCCGAGAGGCTGTCCTATGCGGGAAACCTATGGTATCAATCCAAGATGGGTATTTCGAGGCGGCAATGGCGGTTGAGAGTCTAGAATTGAAAAAGAACGAATATCAAAACACAGTCAGAAAGCAGGATCATCAAAGGCCGGCCAGATGTGCAGCCCGAAATGCTCCGTTGGAGTAAGAACGGGCGCATGACATCATATGGGATAATATATGTTTGCTGTGTTTGCATCATTTGGTGTTTGCCGTGTTTGCAGCTCGTAGGGCTTTCGGAAAAACCTCGGCCCTTCGCAAAACAGCTATTCCTCTCCATTTGCGCTACCCCAGCATATCGACCAACCATCGACAAAATGCCACGAAAGCTAAGGGCGGCCGCCCAGGCGGCTGCAAAGTCGATAAGTGAGTTGATCCCAACCACGTTGGCCCGCACCTGCCAGAAGCACCCGTCCCTTTTACTATGCATTGAATTCCACGTCCCCTTAAGACGCGTTTGCGACTAACAAGCTTCAGAAAATGCACCTTCAATTCCAGATGGCTCTGATGAGGAAATGGTCGATGTTCCTTCCTCTCACCCCTCCTCACCCGTAGCCGAACCAGAAGACTCCCCCGAGAAGGATCCCGATGTCGAACTGGAGGCTGAGCCTGAATCTAAACCTGAACTTGAAACCGAAGCCGAAAGCGCGGAAGTTCAGGCTCCCGAAACACCTGCCACACCCAAGCCGGAGGAAGAATTGAGTGTTGCAACCCCCGCAGACTCGATTCTTGCCGACACAGACAACACACCTTCCTACGGGCCTGGTCGCCCATCACTTCCCCCTCGCGGCAAGCGTCGCATTGGCCGCCCACCCAAGAACCCTCGGCCTGAATGGGATCCGGCTGACGGCGAGCCGCCACTTCGAGTCACCACTCCAGTCAAAAGACGTCGCGGTCGCCCTGCTGCTAGCGGTGGACGCTGGGCACGCAACCGCGGCCCCTCCCATCTTACCCAGGTGCCTGTCGACAAGGAAGGAAACATGATGGATGTGATCAATGACGAAGTGTCGATTCCGCCTGACCCAATCGGCGCCACTAAGGTTGATGAGAATGGCCACCTACAAGGCGGACGTGAGTATCGGGTCCGTACCTTTAAGATCCTTGGTCGCGGAGACCGCCTCTACATGTTGTCGACTGAACCGGCCCGCTGCATTGGCTTCCGTGACTCGTACTTGTTCTTCCAGAAGCACAAGATGTTGTACAAAATCATCATTGATGATGATGCCAAGCGTGATTTGATTGAACGCGACCTCATCCCCCACTCGTATAAGGGACGAGCCATTGGTGTTGTCACCGCGCGATCAGTGTTCCGCGAGTTTGGCGCAAAGATTATCGTCGGCGGCAAGAAGATCACCGATGACTATGATGAAGCTGCTGCTCGCGAGCGCGGCGATGTGGAGGGCGAGTTGGCCGTTCCGGAAGACAGATTGCCCGGGCCTGGAGAAACTTACAACAGGAATCAGTACGTTGCCTGGCACGGCGCAAGCAGTGTTTATCACACAAATGCGCCTGCAGCCCCGCTTGTTGGTGGAAAGCCAGTTGATACCAAGAAACGCCGTGTGCCAGTCACGGATGACAACTGGATGCTCGAGCATGCCCGTGCTGCAAGGTGAGTCTATATTTGATAACGAGTAACACATTGGGAACTGTCCTAATACATAGCATAGCAACTTTAACTCAAAGCTCACCGAAATGCGCCGTACGAACCTGGGTGGTGTGTACGATGTCCACACCAATATTATGCAGCACCCGAAGATCATGCAGCCAACCCATGCCCGCTGGGAGCGCGTTTCCCCAATTCCGGCGTCCGCGCCGACCGAGTTGGCGACGAACATGAACTCATTGAACCTCTCCAACGGAGGCTCTCCTTCCACCCATGAAAATCACCCCTCCCACGAAACCCAAGAATCGCACGAGCCTACCACTGGCGAAACATCCACCGAGAGACCCGCCACAACTTTCTCCTCTGTTCCCGCCCATCTCCACGATCGCTACGTCATCCAGGACATCGTTTATGAATCCCCGCCATATTCAAACATGGGCATCCCGGGCCCTGACGGTGATGTGCACGATATTGGACCCAACGGTCTGGTCACCGTCGCCAACCCCGAGCATCCCGAGTTCATGACTCCAGAGATCCTCGAGTTGCTTCCGCCAGAGTGCAAGGAAGCTCTCGTTGACGCTGCGGCACAGGAGGTTGAATGGAAGTCCAAGTGGACCACCGAGATCGCGGACGGCGAGCGTACTCAGCCAACCAAGAGCTACGCCTGGTACCCGTAAATCCTGTAGTTGATTTCCTTTGTTTTTTCTTTCTTGGGATTCTTGCGCGTCGGCGAAATTTATGGGTTAGCATGGGCTGGGTGGCTGGACATGGCAGGCGAAAGCCGCTGGAGTTTTTTTCCCCTTTCTTTCTGCTTCTGAGTCTGTTGTCGCTTTCTCGGCATATGCCTGGGATAGATATTTGCCTATCTAAATGATGT